AGAAGCATGGTGAGTATTTTTCAGATATCGTTTGTTGCCACAAGTTTTGGGAAAATGAAGAACGAAAAAAAAAACATTTTTTTTCTTTTCTTTTTTTTATATTTCAAAACCTCGTGAGAAACAATAAGATCTGAAAAATACTTACCATACCTCTTTTTAAATTCCTTGGGGTGTCTACTTTCCAAAAAGGGGTCATTTGGGGGGTTTGGTGCTATCCTGGCATTTCAGGGTCTCTGAAACAGTGATAGGTAGTGAGGAAGTGAAATAAAGAAGTTATGCACCTTCAGGCTTTCAAAGTGGTCATTGGATTTCAGGCTCCTGTATGTGGCTAGGCTCCCAAAAAGTCTCACACATGTGGTATCCCCATACTCAGTAGAAGTAGCAGAATGTATTTTGGGGTGTAATTCCACATATACCCATGGCTTTTGTGAGCAATATATCATTTAAGTGACAACTTTGTGTAAAAATATTCCAAAAAGTTGTGGAAAAAAATAAATCTTCCATGGACTCAATATGCCTCTCAGCAGATAGCTTAGGGTGTCTACTTTCCAAAAAAGGGTCATTTGGGGGTGTTTGTACTATCCTGGTATTTTAGCACCTCAAGAAATGTGATAGGCAGTCAGAAAGTTAAAGCTATGTAAATTTCAAATTATCTATACCATAGTTTGTAGATGCTATAACTCACACAAAGCAATTAGTATACACTTATTGGGTTTTTTTTTTTTACCAAAAACATGTAGCACAATACATTTTGGCTTAAATTTATGATGAAAGTTTAGTTTTTTGGATATTTTTATGACAGAAATGAGAAAATATTGTTTTTTTTGTTTATGGCACAAAAAATAAAAAGCGCACAGCTGATCAAACACCACCAAAAGAAAGCTCTGTGTGAAAAAAAGGACATAAATTTAATTTATGTACAGCATTGCATGACCGCGCAATTGTTAGTTAAACTAGTGCAGCGCTGTATAGCAGAAAATGGTATAAATTACAATATCTATACCAGTATATAGTTTGTAGACACTATACCAGTATACAGTTTGTAGACACTATAACTTTCACACAAAGCAATCAATATACACTTATTGGGATTTTTTTTTACCAAAAACATGCAGCAGAATACATTTTTGCCTAAATTTATGACGAAATTTGAGTTTTTTGGATATTTTTTATGACAGAAATGAGAAAATAATGTTTTTTTTCAAAATGTTGGGTTTTTTTTTGTTTATAGCGCAAAAAATAAAAAGCGCACAGGTGATCAAATACCACCAAAAGAAAGCTCTATTTGTGTGAAAGAAAGGACATACATTTTGTTTGGGTGCAGCTTTGCATGACCGTGCAATTGTCAGTTAAACTAGTGCAGCGCTGTATAGCAAAAAAATGGCATAAATTACAGTATCTATACCATAGTTTGTAGACACTATAACTTTCACCTAAAGCAATCAATATACACTTATTGAGATTTTTTTTACCAAAAACATGTAGCAGAATAAATTTTGGCTTAAATTTATGACTAACTTTGAGTTTACTATATATTTTTTATAGCCAAAAGTAAAAAATACTGTTTTTTCAAAATGTTCTTGTTTTTTTTTTTTGTTTATAGTGCAAAAAATAAAAAGCGCACAGGTGATCAAATACCACCAAAAGAAAGTTCTATTTGTGTGAAAAAATGGACATAAATTTCATTTATGTACAGCATTGCATGACCGCGCAATTGTCACTTAAACTAGTGCAGTGCTGTATAGCAAAAAATGGCATACATTACAGTATCTATACCATAGTTTGTAGACATTATAACTTTCACACAAAGCCATCAATATACACTTATTGGGATTTTTTTCTACCAAAAACATGGAGCAGAATACATTTTGGCTTAAATTTATGACTAACTTTGAGTTTATGATATAATTTTTATAGCCGAAAGCAGAAAATATTTGTTTTTTTTTCTAAATTTTCAGTCTTTTTTTGTTTATAGTGCAAAAAATAAAAAGCGCACAGGTGATTAAATACCACCAAAAGAAAGCTCTATTTGTGTGAAAAAAAAGAAAGTAAATTTTGTTTGGGTACGGCATTGCATGACCGCGCAATTAACAGTTGAAGTAGTGCAGCGCCAAACAGCAAAAAAAGGCCTGGTCAGGAAGGGGGGTAAATCCTCAGGAGGGCAAGTGGTTATAGAGAATGAAGATATATCATTATATTAGCACATAAAACCACTAACGGGACAAAGCCCGTGCTTGTGCGCCACCTAGCGACTATATCCAGCATTGCTCCTAGAAATATGTCTAACTGGACTGTGTATTTTTACTAAGGGGATTGTGCCTAGAAAGTAGACTCTTTTCCAATCAGCTTGCTAGACTTTTTTCTGAAGACTGACAGGTCTTAAGTGATTGAATTGAGTCTGAATGTTCAGCGTCTGCTGGTAGACTCGATTCTTAGTAAATCAGGGCCTTATTGTCTACAGATTAAAATCATGAATGCAACATTCTTGTGCAAGGGAAACACCTTACATGGACTTCTGCAGAGCCTGCGATGAAGAATGGCTCATTTTCCCCATCCCAAGACCAGACAGCTGTGTTCCCTGGGGCTCTAGTGTGGTGCAAATGGAAGACACACACCAGTGACTGCTGGTATCAGGTGAATGGAGTCACCCAGCAGCCCTGAGGGATGCTAGTCGGACTGGAAGTGACGTCAGAAGTGTGGCAAGAAGCCGACAGGGGGATGCTGGATGTAGGCAGAAAAGGTAGTCAAGCTGCCTGTGGAATATGAGCTCCACAATAGCCGAGCACGTCCGAGCCCACTCGGGTTTATAACTGCACATGCGGAGTTTAAAAGTCATCCCGAGTTTTTTTTTTTTTTATGGACGGTTGGCAACCCTGGTGGCCCCTCCCCTCCTCCCCCCGCACCCTCATAGCGACGCCACTAGTGACATCTATTTGAGATGCTTCCAAGATTATTTAGAACTCATTGACAGATGCATCTGACCTGCAGTTGGACTCCTACAGATGTGCTTCAAGAGGTTTTGCATTCCCATAGACATTTATAGGAACAGAAAACCCATCTGACATGGGTATAGGGCCATCAAGCCTAAGCTGGTGTGGTCAATGCTGACGAGAACATTTAGCCCTGGTTAACAACAAATGAGGCTTTGAAATTGCTCTACTTTAGCATGATTTCAAAGCTGCTGATCATCTGTGGCTTGCCGACATCTGTGTGACTTCATGCACAGAGGTCAATGCAAGTCATGCATGAAATCACAAAAAATAGTGCAGGAACCTTTTTCAAGGTTGATGCAATTCAGTTGCACCAATTTGAACAGTTCCATAGCTGCAAACAGGGTGCGACTCATCATGTGACTTTGATCTGTCAATTCTCATGACAAGTCACACTGGTGTGAACCAGGGCATAGGGACAGACTGTAAACACCTTAGGTTGCTGCAATGTCATGGAGGTAGAAAACATCTGGGAATCAGGGGCAGGGTTACTGTAAAGTACCTTAGAACAGAGGTGCTCAACCTTATTGTGACCAGGGCTCAGTAAATTCTTCCAAAACCTCCTCTGCCCCAGTAGTAAAGAAATTGGAATACAATGTATTGAAATGCTGGAAGGTTCTGATTATAGTCAGGTGTCACTGTGGAGGTACTTCTTAGTGGCCCAATAGGGGGATGGGGTCTCTAGGAGGGAGCTGGAGGCAACTGTGGGGAATATTATCATTATTATTATTATACAGTATTTATAAAGCGCCAATAGTTCGCTCAGCGCTGTACATTACAAAGGGGGACAGAACATGTGACAGAACAATACCAATACAATGCAAAACATGAGGGGATCGAGGGCCCTGCTCTTTCGAGCTTACAATCTAGGAATATGGTCTCTCCAGGAGGCTGGGGACTTAGCAGAGGCACTGTAAGAGACTGTAGGGCCCTGCAATGGCTGGGGAAAACTGTTGGAGGTTGAAGGTCCCATGCGGGGACTGAAGTTCTTATGCCATCTCATATGAAGCCTACACAAGTTTTCTCTTTTCTCCAACAAAGGAACCCGGAGGCAAGGGAGCCCAGTAAAAGTGGGTATAAATGGGTCATGGGGAAAGGCTTTTAAGAAATGTTGTCACTTTGCCCTGGCAGGGCAAGAATACATCTTAACAGCAGTGGACTATGCCACCTCATACCCAGAGGCCATGGCACTATCCATCCTCGGGGTGCTCAAGGATGCTGGAAAGCTTTACAAGAGTAAGGAGTAGGAGTTAGGGGACTCTGCAGCAGACTTGGTGGCCCATTAGAGGATGAGGTTTCTGGAGGAAGTTGGGGGCACCCGCAGGAGATGCTGTCTGTTCAGGAGGCAGGGGGCTTTGCAGCGGCACTGTGGAAGCCTTTAGGACTTTGTTGGGGGTCACTGTTGGAAGTTGATGGGCACTATTTGGGGCTGGAGGCTCTACAGCAAGCTAGGTGGCACTGTAAGAGGTTGGGGACACTGTGGAACGAGTGTTCTCACAGGGTCCAGGACAGTTAGGGACCTGCAGGCCACGATGCAAGGTGGAGGGTCCACTATGAGAAGTTAGGGGGTCTGTAGCTGGAAGAAGGCAGGCCACAACCCATCAGTGGGACACAGCCCAGTACTTGTGAATACTGGCTTATGGGGTGTGGAGGAATTGGTGACAACTGAGGGAAAGATGGAGCTGTGCTTTAAAAACCTAGCCTAGTACATGACAAGGAAACTGAAGTGCTCTCCATTGGTATGCCCGATTTCCAGTTTTACACTCATTCACATGTGACCCTATGACTTGTACTCCTAGGACTTGGTCCTTGCTTGTCCTGCCCTACACTTCACAATCACATTTCTGACATTGCATGCTGAGTTATCAGCCACTTTCTTCTCATTGGCCCGTGTTATCAGCCACTTTCTTTCCATTGGTCCCTGCGCTCGTCCCTCATTTCCGTCTTTCACAACGAGCCCGCCCCACAGGTGAGTGGGCGGTGTCGGAACATGCGCTCCCCTGTACTTGTCCAGGATTGGTTGGTAGTGACGCCGCTGCTCGCACTCGTTCTGCCCTACTCGCGTGGTGTGTCGCGCGCTCGCCACCCCCATCCCTTCACTACCATTGGGCGGACAGATACGCGCCCCTCGGCCACCCGCAGGCATATATAGGACCCGCTGGCCCCATTCAGACCCTTGTTATGTCCAACTGCACAGTGAAGAAGCAGAAGATGGAGGACTCCGTGCTGGAGCAGCTGAAGAAATGCACGGTGGTGGTGGCTGATACCGGGGACGTCAATGGTGAGACCGAAACCTCATGTGTTCACCCCCCGGGGAGCCCCGAACCCCTCTCCTCTGTGCTATATGGGATCTGGTGGGTAACCCGTATGTAACGCACTCTGGATAGGTAACCCGTATGTGAGCGCTGAGTGCCCGACACGTGTGGTGGTGGGGGTCACATGACAGGTGACTATAGACAGTGCATCCAATCAGCATCCAGACAGATCCCTGTAGTATATAGCTGATGGTACCTCTACAGAGGATCGTACAATCAGATTGCACAGTGTATGCCCCCCCCCCTTCTGATGATCATACACATATTGGTCTGAACTGTTCTAAACAGAATTGACTAAAATCTAGGCAATATCCCCAAGGCACCCCGGGGTGAGTTCAATAAAACCACGCCACCACTTCTGGTAGTAATCCCTCGTTAACTTGTCGCACCAAAATTTGTGACACATCTGCGACATTTCTAATTCTGACAGCGACGTGTACGCCAAATGCAGGTGGTTCTAAAATGTGACCCCTTACATAGTGGAGCGACGCCTGCGCCAAATTCTAAAATGTGACCCCTTACATAGTGGAGCGACGCCTGCGCCAAATTCTAAAACGTGACCCCTTACGTAGTGGAGCGACGCCTGTGCCAAATTCTAAAACGTGACCCCTTACGTAGTGGAGCGACGCCTGCGCCAAATTCTAAAACGTGACCCCTTACATAGTGGAGCACCGCCTGCGCCAAATTTTAAAACGTGACCCCTTACGTAGTGGAGCGACGCCTGCGCCAAATTCTAAAACGTGACCCCTTACGTAGTGGAGCAACGCCTGCGCCAAATTCTAAAACGTGACCCCTTACGTAGTGGAGCGACGCCTGCGCCAAATTTTAAAACGTGACCCCTTACGTAGTGGAGCGACGCCTGCGCCAAATTCTAAAACGTGACCCCTTACATAGTGGAGCGACGCCTGCGCCAAATTCTAAAACGTGACCCCTTACATAGTGGAGCAACGCCTGCGCCAAATTCTAAAACGTGACCCCTTACATAGTGGAGCAACGCCTGCGCCAAATTCTAAAACGTGACCCCTTACGTAGTGGAGCAACGCCTGCGCCAAATTCTAAAATGTGACCCCTGACATAGTGGAGCGACGCCTGCGCCAAATTCCGCATTACATACCAATAAAGTGTATCTTCCAAAAGTGGAGATAATTGAGGCGAGGGTCACTCAGCGAGCTGTGTTTGCGCAGGGGTGGCAGCCCGTTCATTTGAATGCGCTTCTGTGCCTGTGTTTCATGCAAGAAAAAAAAGTTCCTTCCTGCACCTTTAAAACAAAGTCAGAGGGAAATCACTTAACGCTTTTGCACTATGGGATTTCCCGTAAATGAAGCGTTCTGCGTTGTCAGGATGCATGGGGGGGGGGGGGGGGGGCTAGTGAAAATAATTGGCAGCCATGTGTTTCTGCAAAGTTGCTGTGAGGCTTGGCTGCCGGTGTGGGAAGAGGTGCGATTTACATGCTGTCCCACAGCTACCCCTACAAGTGTGACCCTAGCCTGAGACCAACTCCTTTGGCGGACAGATTGTGTGGAAGGGTGTCGCGTGCGTTCTAGAAGTGCTGCTGCTGGTGTCACTTCCTGACCACTACTTGAATTTGCTGCACACTGCACCAGTTAATGCTACAAAAACGCACTCTGGATAGGTTTTCGCTTACACTTCACACCACACTCCATTCCAGTGCAGTTTTGATGCAGTTTGCTATGTTCCAGTACAGTTCTGTGCAGAAACAATTCAGCATGTTGCACTTTTTTTTCTGCACCAGAAACTGACTGCACTGGTGTGAACTACAGCCATTGGAATACATGGAAAACACTGTGCATGCTTTTGTGATGCAGAAAAAATGCACTGGACTGCACCTAGTGTGAACTAGCCCTTAGAGGCACTGTAGTGAAATCTGTCTGTGCCAATCTCTATGGATTCCAGGGGAGGGGTCATTGATTTCAAGCAAAATTAACCAATTTAATTGAAATGATTCTAATTGGCATGAACAGAAAATCTGATAGTCGGAAAGTAGATCATTTGATAAGATCGGTAGGTGTATGGTGCACTGAATGATCTGATTGGAACAGGAAATTGATTATAGGATCATCTTATATGAAGTCGTTCTGTGTATGGCCACTATTAGTGACATCTGGTTCAGCTCATGTCAGTGTTGCAAAAACAGCAGCTGAGACTGAGGCTGCTCATAGGTCTCATTCACAGTAAGGCTATGTTCACACTAGAACATGGTGCCGGGAAACCCGCAATCCGTGCGCTTCCCACACAGTGTTCAAGGTTGCAGTGCAGTCACAGGTGTCAGTGTTTGCCTCTTCAATACCGTGCAGTTTACCGCCTTCCTGCCCAGGCCGGTGTTTAGCTTTTAGAGCTGCCGCACTTTGACAATTGCACAGCCATGCAATGCTATACCCAAACTACCTTTTTCTTTTTTTCACACAACTAGTGCTTTCTTTTGGTGGTATTTGATCACCACTTGGTATTTTATGTTTTTTTGCTAAATAAAAAAATATATATTTTTTTTTAAATAAATTAGGGTGGATTTGATTTAAATCAAGTTGATTGAAATCACTAGTGAAAGGGTCAATTTAAATCATCGTTTTTAAAGAGCAACTGTCATCTGTCCCTCAGCGGCTCCTCTCACCCGCTGTTGACTCAGTTTCATTCACTTTAATGGGACGGATGGTGATGTGGCAGTGACACTACAAGGTGAGGGATGTGACGGCAGCAGGTGAGTGGATGCCCGCTAAAAGGCGTTGCCATGATGGATTTAAAATGACAGGTGCTCTTTAAATGTAAACAATCCAACTCATTCTTGCTGGTAGTTAGAATCTTTAATATTTGCAAACCGAATGAAGGTTTCCTTTTTAGAAAAAAAATTGTCGTGGTCCATGCAGTGTGTGCACTTAGATATGTAAAAAGGCTGCAGCGCTCCTTACACGGGGCAGTATTTCAGGTGGACCTGATCAGGAACCCCATATAAAGCTGGCCATACACTATACCAGCGTTTTTCAACCACTGTGCCGCGGCACACTAGTGTGCCATGAGATATTGTCTGGTGTGCCGTGGGATTGCCTCGGCTCACAAATAGACGGGCAAACTACATACGGCCCGGCGGACCTTTTAATCCGGCCCACGGAGCGTGATGTCAGGATGATCTGTCCCCCTCGACGTATCTGCATGTGTGCCAGAGATTGCCGATCGGCTGCTAATGCCTGAAAACATGCGCAGATACGTCGAGGGGGACAGATCCTCATAGGAGACCTACACCGTAACGGCGAGAGGAACGCGCGGCGCAAAGGTAAGTGAATTGACACAGGGGGGGCTTGGGGACTTAATATGGGGGATGAATTAATATGGGGAATGAATTACTATAGGGGGGATGAATTACTATATGGGGGATGTATTACTATGGGGGATGAATTACTATGGGGGATGTATTACTATGGGGGATGAATTACTATATGGGGGATGAATTACTATATGGGGGGTGAATTACTATGAATTACTATTACTATATGGGGGGTGAATTACTATATGGGGGATGGATAGGGGGGATGAATTACTATGGGGGATGAATTACTATGGGGTGAATTACTATATGGGGGATGAATTACCAATTGTCAGGGGGATGAAATTACTATGGGGGATGAATTACTATATGGGGGCTGAATTACTATATGGGGCTGAATTACTATATGGGGGGCTGAATTACTATATGGGGGATGAATTACTATGGGGGTGGCTATGATTACTATGGGGGATGAGATTACTATGGTGGATGAATTACTATATGGGGGATTAATTACTATGCTTACTATGGGGGAATATTACTATACTTACTATGGATGACACATACACATCATTCATCTACTCTTGGTCCGGCCCCCGGGTCCAATTATAAAATCTTTATTATTTCATAATAAAGTAATTATAAAATAATTTCTGACCCTATTCAAGAGAATTACTTTATATATAGTCATCCACAGAGCAAAGTTTTTTTAACATTTTCAATGGTGTGTGCCTCGTGATCAGGAACCCTTTGCACTTTTACACTGCACTATACAATCTGATTGTACAATCTTCTTTTGATCTGCAATCAGCAAAGAGCTTGTCTGACTGGGTACAGATTGAGTGGATGGTGTCGGCTGTTCTCATATTACATTGTCTAGGTCGGGGATTAGCATTCTGTAGATTGCAGGCTGGTGATTGGTAGATCATGGTCTGGCCTGGCTGACCCGCCATCCCAGAGCATCAAACCAAGTGCAATGCAGAGGGACTACTTTTTTAAATTGGAGCTGTAGTAAGGAGCAAGAGCCGCATAAGCCGATGACTCCTCTGTAGTGCCGGCTCCTGTCCCATGCGGAGTGATACCAACTGCACTCCACCTCTTATCCCGGCTAGCAGTCTCCAGAGTGGTGCCAGCAGCAGGAAAGATCTTCAGGTCAGTGTGATGCAATACACTGCTCATAGTAGTATAGGACTGCTTTCACACTTGTGTGCTGCGGTTTACCCACACAGCGGATGAAGTGTACATGAAGCTTTCCTGCGGTTTGCTGCACTTAACCATAGACTTCTATTATATCCTGTGGGTTTGGTGCACTTTCTGAAAGCACATCACACGTGCAGGATATAATAGTCTATGGCAAAGTGCAGCTAACCAAGGAAAGTCGCAGATGCGCTGTGCCCACAGTACAGGTAAATGGCAGTACATCGGTGTGAAAACAGCCTTATAGGGGGTTCAGAACAGGAGGCAACACTGCCTGGTGATCTTTGACTTCTATGTTCAGGTAGATCTCCACCTCTTTAAAGTTGTCACCCCCCCCCCCCCCAACACTGCATTTATTTTGTCCAAAAGGTGAACTTCTCCTTTAATACCCCTGATCACTGCCACACCTATCATATGACGATGTAGTGCACTGGTGACAGTATGTAAAAAAAAAAAATGTAATTTCTTACTTTTCCAAAAAAAAAAGTAACA